TTAGGAGGACCTGATAGGAATCATAAGATCACCTCTCCACTAGATAAGATCTTAGTTTCTAGTCTCTTTTTCTTGCCCACTAGAAAAACATGCTGAACTTAAATCTTGTCTTACAGATGGAGGCATGATTGGGTTTCTACTCATGTCCTGAACATCAAGGATGATACAAACCCTTTCAGCCTCTCGGAAAAGTCCGACTGGCTGGTCCTATCTGATCAAGCTCCTTTTCTCCACTGGACCCATTCAAAATTTCCAATTATATAAAGAAGCAAATCAATATGATATTGATCGATGGGTACTTTTCTTAACAAGAATCGGCCTGCAAAAACTCGCCATTGACTTCAATCCTATGAAGCGATATAGAACACACTCTTCCTCGTTTTCATATAACACTCTTCCTCGTTTTCATTGCACACTTGAACCCTCGATAACAAGGTTCTGTGATATCTCAAGTTTCTCAATCTATTTAGGGTACTGCCGAACGATATCATATTGGAATCTCTGGCTTCTTGGAGAGCAGAATTTCAGACAACAAAACTAATAGAATGTTATGGCCTCTCCCATGCCAAAATTCAGGCCCCAAGGCTCCTGTCATTGTGTTTCACAGGCAAAATTAGTCACATAAGTCCGAGTAAAAGTTCCAAGTTCCAACTTGAAGAAGCTTACCATGGGACACCTTGATTGCATGACTAGTCAATTTCTGGAGGGTCTCCCTAGGTTAGAGATACCTGCCTTTCACAATTATTCCTTACAAGTAAGAGTTGTTCCCAATATTGTGTCCATGGCTTTTATTTGATGAAACTTTTTATCCTACAAGTTCGAGAGAAAAAACCAAAACTGAAGGAAATATCCAGCGAGATTCTCTGGCGCTTACAAGGAACAAACCTAGGATTTTTTAACCTGTATTTAGATACAGGTATGATAAATGAGGTCACAAATTACTCTTGAGAAGTTTCCCGTACTTAAAAGACCTTCGTACTCGGAGGTGGGAGTCCCACCTCCATGTTTGATATCATTGTGTGGAAGCTGTAAAGTGGAAGGGCAGCCTTCCACGCTACTCTTTTTTAGTGTTAAAATGAGTTCATTTTTAGAAGACCTTCCTTCCATCTAAAGTGAAGGAAGAATCGTCTTCCATAATTTGTGGTAGAGTTTGTTCCACTCCCCAAAACTCCACGTGTCAAACACCCCCTAAGTATTTTCAACATACACTTAGGAAATTATACAGATTGGTTGTATTCTCAAGGAATCATAATCTCGTTGACTTATAAGTATCATCCTTTTGTAACTTGTGTACACTGTTTATGTTTAGGTGGATGACAAATGAGAAGGTGAGCAACATAGTCAAAAGGGTTCAATAAAATTCTATAATACTGCTTATATATACCTCCACAAGAACATAGTAAAAAAACAGAGCACATCGATCACAATCCAGTCAAATATCTTTAAAAATAGCATACCAACCAGGAGAGAGAGTCAAATATCTTTAAAAATAGCATACTAACCGGGAGAGAGATTCAGGTTGGGGCACTTCCACAAGAACCAGATCACCATCAAGCTACTATCTAACATTTCTTGTTAGTTCTTGTTTTTCTTTTAGTTTTTTCATTTTTCTATAAACCAGTACCCAATTTCTTTCCCCTCCTAACATTATCTCATGAACAATCCTTGACACTGAAATGATGGCATATTCAGTTTCGTGTATGGAAGAAAGCCTTCTTGCCACATTTGAGACCCATACAAAATCCAGTTCTTGCTCATTGCATTACAAAGCGAACCCGACTTCTTGAAGGGCTATATGAAACTCTCGTTCCAATTGTCTGCTATGCAGCAGCTCCAACCTATTTCACAGCCAGCGCTTATGCAACAGACAAATGCTAGGAAATAATTAATATACTCTTCATGTTTGTCACTAGACAATTTATCTGAAGTTCTCTAATCACTGCATTTAGAGGTCACATGGCTTGAAATGCACAACGGCACATAAATTTTAATGATATTAGTAAATGTAGGTATCCCCTCTATATGAAAGACAACTAGTTAAAAATCAATATTGTCCAAGAACATATGCACAGTGATGATACAAAGTGGAACAACCATCACTTCCAAATATGGCTTACCCATCAGTTGCTAGTCCCCACTCATCTTTCATCTGATGAGTGAACATGTCAAACTGCACATGCAAATATGCAAACAGGTAATTTTATCAAGATTAATGAAAGAGAACTACAGGAATAAACTACTAGAGGAAAGAAACACAACAGAAAACATTATACTGAAAGAATCATGCCTCTCATTTTTTAACATTATTTGGTTTGAATTGTACTTGTAGCGGAGAACAGGAATTTCAACTCAAAATATATAAATCTAATGTGGCAGATTGAACGAACATGATATGCAGGAATGGAAATGATAACAATACCAGAAACCCAAGTGAATTCTAGAAAAATTTGATTTGCAAAGGCATGAAGGTCTGAATAAACTAATTACTCCCAATAAATAATGTACTTGCAATGAAAATTAGACGGGGGAAATAAAGTGCTTGCCTCAAACCAACACATCAAATGAAGTCCATGAAATGTTGTTTACCTATTTGGCTTATCTCCATACCAAAGGCCACTCTGAAAATTCTACTATAGCTGGAACGGAGTTACTCAGCATAAAAAAGGAAATTCCAGTACTAAACTACTGGCCTCAACCCAGCACTTCAAATGAATTCCACACTCTTTGAATAAACCATCTCTATGACGAGCCGGAATACAAAGTTTTATTTTTTTTCAACTAAATCTCTGATTACAAAAAATACTTGTTGCCTTAAACCCCAAAATGTTAAAATTCACTAACTTAGAAAAGACAAATTCACAGAGCAATTAAACTGCAAGGCTATCCATACCAAGAAATGGACCCATCCAATGATCAGAACACATTAATATGTTGTTAAACAAGATATAACATCTCTAACAAGCTAAAACCGAACTCAGTTTAGAGGAAGAGAAAGAGATGGAGATACATTAAAGACAACCAATACAGACACAAGTAAAATCATATTTATGATGTCAGCAGCATACAGAACCAAAACACAGAAACCTGCTGTAAATAATTAACACATCAGGCCTCATAATAATAGGTTTATTTCTATTAATAGCATCTCAAAAAAAACGAAATAAAAAACAGAGAGATCAAAAGAAATTGCTTTGAGATCAATAGATTATTGACCACTTGTCATTACCTTTCAGGTTGAGCGACTTAAATGAATAACTTCAGTCAAAGGATGCAGGATTTAGGCCAGATTTGCACCCCAAAAAGATTAGAGATGGTATTGTATTCCACAAATAGCCGATGGGGATCTGATCAGACCATCCATCTAATCAAAACTTTCCAATTGGTTATGCATGTGGCACAAACATGAGCCTTACTATCATGAACTTAAGCTAGATAATCCATGTATCAGTTAGGTATCTTTTGAGCAAAAAGCAAACTGTCATGTGTCATCTCAATCATGAAATAAGCTTCCACGAGAGTTTTATGCCAATATGATATGCGATGCACATTGCCAAACCTCTATAAACTCACTAATCTGCATCCAAACTCAGTTTCTTTTATGCACTCAGTTCCCTTTTCAAGTCCATGAATTGCATGGAAGTCACATGTATCATATGTACATTGTTCATTAATGAAAATGGACATCACCTGTCTGCAATTTCAATTATGGAGTGATAGCATGATACTAAATTAAGGGACAATATTTCAAGGGCTAGTTTCAGTCAAAATAAATGACTCAGCAAGATCCTTAAACATTCACTCCATATAAAGATCAACAAAAACCAATTTACAAGCTTCTAGTTTTAAGTCCAGATCATCAAGGTTTTCTTTTTTAAAATTTTCTTTTGCTTTTTAACTAAATTTAGTATGCAGATTCCAAATGAAGTCCAAAAACTAATTAACGTATTCCCTTTTTTGACAAAAAACCAAATAAAATATTGAAGGTTCCTTAGGGTCAGCAGGCATAACTTCCTCTGCAACTCTAACCTTCAAAAACACTTTTGTGAATTTTCACCAATTTAGAGAGAAACCGTGCAAGAAATCAGTATGTTAGGCTAAGGATCAACTAGCATTAGCCAAAGTGCAAAAAAAGCAGACTGTCAAAAAGAAAGATCGACATACTTTACTGAGATTGTGCTGGTCATATATATAACCAATATTGGTTAGCCAAGTCACCTGGAATAACCTATACAAGGGCATTTATGAGTTAGATTTTCATGGTAGTTGTATGCCTAACCATCAAAAAGATAACAAATTTTAGAAAGTAGAAATAAAAGAATACAATTAACTTTGATGGCTTCGTGCCTCTAATCATGTAAGAAGCAAAAGACATGACCAAGAAGGAATAAAACACTGTCCCACAATATTTGTTCAAATCTTTTGATGGTGAAGCAATTCAATTCATTGGTTTCTTCTAACTGCTGGAATAAAAAGGCCTCATACAAAAGCCTTCATAACCTTCAAGATATCATTTCAATTCTAAAAATAATAGCCTAACATTTTCAGTGAATGATGATCTACCATGTCGACACAGAAAGTATCAAGGAATAATATTCAACTTTGTATGCTTTTCTTGAGGATCCATGTTTACCTCATGAATAAATGGAAAAGGAAAAGAAACATAAACTTATGCAATAGAAATTGACGAAGGCAATAGAGTTAGCATGCACTGTCTCTGATATCAAAAGAAACCCATGTGGCCATGTAAGAGAGTTGGGATTTGATATTCCAATAAAACTAATCAATCAAATCCAAAGGAACACCAACTCCATCAGAAAAGATCAACAAATTATAATCAAATTTCTAATTAACAAAAGAAAAACACCGAAAAAACTCAAAAAATAAACAAATATACTAGATTAAAAAAAAAAAAACATATGCATGAAGGCAAGAGATACATTATCGACAAATGCCATACACCAAACTTCTTGATCCATCATCATAAGTATCACCAGAACATATGACCACACTCAAAATTAGTGCACTGCAAAATTTAAGAATTTATAACATCTCGAAATCTCTCTCAAACTTTAGAGAATACAGAAGCCAGAAATTACAATAGCACATTGTGTTCCTTGTCTCCTCACCACTAATTCACATAATAAATCGAAAATCAAGAGCAGCTCGTATCGATAAAATAAAATACTCCTGATTTTCCAATCAAATGTGCAAACATATAACAGGAGAGCAAATGTGCAAACATATAACAACGGCGAGAGAGAAATTTAAACATCAAGGTGGTTTTTTCCCCAAATAATTGAATTATCCAGCATAGGGAAAGAGTAACTTACTCTTGCCCTGAAACAAAAATCAGACAATAGAGGCATCCTCAATTCGAGTACCATCGGAAAAAATGAAACATAAACAAAGCCTCTAAAACACCCAACATTGCACCAGCCATTACATCAAGAACAAAATGCCGTCCCAATAAAACCCGAGAGAAGGACGTTGCCACTGACCACAACACCACAAGCCCTGCAAACCGAAACCCGCCATGCAAATCGATCATCCAATCACCACGCACAAATTCCCAACTTTTCAAACCAGACATGAAGCTCCACCCATCAAAAAACTCTTCAATTAAATCAGAACAAAGCCACAGAAAGAAACCAACGAAACAAGCCCTCGAAGAATGACCGCTGGGAAAGGACCAGTGATCGACCCCCACAGTTAGGTGCATTCCCTTGTTGTACACGGGGCGTGGTCGCCGGATGGTGAATTTGAGGAGGCCGACGAGGGCGAGGTCGAGAAGAGAGCCGACGAGGAGGAAGAGAGAGAAAATTTTGAGTTTGGGGTCGGCGAACCAAAAGAGAGAGATGGGTATGGGGAACCAGAACCGGCCATCACCTGAGATCTCCAGAAGCTTGAGAAGAGAGCGAGGAAAGGGGAGGAATAGGGAGTGGAGGTAGAGAGAGAGTCTGGTGTCGAGGTCGATTAAGCTGGTTAGGGCTAGGGTTACGAGAGAAGGGCGATTTGTTGAAGTGGGTTGGGAGGAGGAATCCATGCCCTATGAAATTCAAAATTCTCAGCACCGACAGTGAGGAGTCCAGACGAAGAGAGTCGACCATTTGTTGATAGAACAAGAGAGCTTTAGCCTGTTGCAATGTAAGCAGGAGAGAGACGTAGATTTGTTTATTTGGAAAAAGTTTATGAGGTTGTAACCTTAAAGATGCCCATCAAAAATTCCGGAAAAGATTGTTTTAATGTTGAAAACCTCTCTAATTGATTGTATCGACAGACATGGACATATAGGAATTTTAAAAAAAAATAAATAAATCTTTTGAATCCTCATAAAAAATTTCGGAAAATGTTGTTTTAATGTTGAAAAACTCTCTAATTGATTGTATCGTCATTAAAAAAAAAAAAAGTTTTGAGTCCAAAAAATAGTGCATCTTGCGATATATAATCTAGATCGTTCATTTTCAAGATTTTCATATGTGCATAGATACGTTTGATTTTAACCATTTTTAAATTTTATAAGTAGATATGAAAATAATTTTTCTAAAAATCTCAATAAATTTTTATACCTAAATTACATTTTATAATAAAATTTCGAGGTACGCCTTGGTTTGTTTAAGGTTGCAACAAACCATACCCCTTTTATTTTACGTATCGTTATTTTGTAAACCTTGTAATTTTGTACTATTGTAATTCTTTAATTTAAAAATAAATTTTTTTTACCTAACTTTGGAAAAAGTGTATGTAAAAATGCAAAATTAGATCGAATAATTAAAGATATACTTCAAAAATCTATTAAAAAAAGTTATTATAATGTTGATAAACCCTCTAATGAATCATCTCGACATCAAGATGTATGACTATCATTATAAATAAATAAATAAATTTTGAGTCCCAAAAATAATGCATTTTACAAAACATTATCTAGACCGTCTGTTTTCAAGATTCTCGTATATTTATATATCTACTTGATTTTAACCATTTTGAGAGTTTAATATTTTATATTAAAATATGAAAATAAATTTTTGGATAATCTTAAGAACTTTTTATACCAAAATTGCTTGTTATGATCAAATTTGGAGGTTGAGATAAGGTTGAAAGAGAATATAGGAGAGAGGAAGAGATAAAGTAGTTAATTAGAAAAGCAAGATAACTACATCACTTAAAAAACGTCATGAAAGATAAATGAATAGGGAAAGGCAGAGGACTCGTGGACAAGCTCTACGCAAGCAGGAGTTGAAGATGAAAAATTGCCTTGTCAGAGAGAAAAATCAGTAATTGGAAATGAAAAATAATTTGATAGGGCTGCAATCCTATTAAAATAAGTAAACCTTTGTCCTAAAATTCATCAAAAATTGCTATTTTGGCATCAAAAAACCTTCAAATGAGTCATCTCGGCATTGACCATTATGGTTGCGAAAAAAAATAAGATTTCAAACAGTAAAAATAATATATATTGTAACAAATTATCTATAACATCCATTACGTATTAAAAATAACTATTCACTGACGCAAAATTTGTACCATTCTTCGAGCTTCAAAATTTATAGTCAGTGTTCGAAATTTATTTTAGAGTCATCATGAAGATTGTTTATGCCTAAAGTACCGTCTTTTTTTTTTTGGACAAGGTTACATAAGAATGGAACTTGAGATATGGTACTATGAAAACCCAATTGCTACTTGACCAAACTTGATTCCTTGATGCCCAAAGTACTTTCTGGATGAGGATTCGAGGTGAAACTTTACTTTGTTTTCGTAACGTCTAGGCCTTATAAAAATTTGTCCTTTATAAATACAAAAAGAGATAGAGAGAAATAAAAAAAAAGAAGAGTTTCTCTTAATATAAATGAGGGGTCATTTCCACAAAAAATTGCATGTAAAATAGTTGAAGTTTTAAACGATAATAGGAGAGAGAAATGAAAATAAAGAGGCATGCTAGTTTAAAACGTCGAACAATGATGATTTACAAAAATAAAGACGAACTTCTCTCAAATAAATAAATGGTCAGTTCTATAAAATTTACATAAATATCTAATAAATGAAGGGTTCTATTATGGTGTTCATACTAGAATTTTATAATCATACTCAACAAATTTTGAACATTTATATACCCTGGTTTTGTAATATAATATTTTTTAGTATAGATATTTTTTTTCATTAAAAGGTGCTACATCATCCCTATAGGGCTAACATTACCCACATAGAGTACACTAATGCATGGGTGATATATAGACGATATTACACCTCTCATAAAGACTAAAAGTATATTAATTAAAAAATATTATAATACAAAATAAGGGTATATATATGTCTAAAATTTATTGAGGACAATTATAAAATGCTTTATAATGAGTAATCTAACATAACCTGTAAATAGAGAGTGCAGTTTGTATAAAAAGTGCATTTTCAAATAGTGTCAAAAAGTGTGGTTTCACTACTGGAAATCTCTGTGACGGCCTTAAAATATATTTTCATCTACAATTATAAAATTTAAAGTTTAAAAAATAATGCAGATCGAGTGGACCTATGAAAACTCGATAATCTTGAAAATTGATAGTAAAAAAATGCATTACAAGATGCACTATTTCCAAAACTTGAAATCTATTTTTTTCTATGTCCATGCATCAAATTTGAGCATCAAAACAATCTTTTTTAGTGAAAATTTTGAGATACATCCTAATTTGATTGTTTAGAGCCTCGTACTTATATAAACTTTTTCCTTTTTTTAATGCATTATTTTGTGTCCAGCAATAATAAAGGTTTGCTTTTCAAACCAAAGAAGAAAAAAAAAAACTTAGTTCCTCTATTTTGTTCTTCTAGGAAATGGGTTTGTACATTATCATATCACAAGCAAAGAATAAAAAAAACTTAGTTCCGGCTATTTTGTTCTTCCATTAAATGGGTTTATATGTTGTCATATCACAATCACTCCTAAGCCTTGGATGTCTAATTGGATGGCTCAGGGTGTATAACCACCCAATGATTGGCCTAGAGTGTATAACCACCCAATTTAAAATCTTTATTGACAAGAAGACTCATTGTGACCTCTTAACTAAGTATAAAATAAGGAATCATTCGAGAGTTCCAATTTATGTCAAAACGAATCTGTGCTCCCGCGTGAGCATGCTGTCCGCCAAAGAACTTGTGAACAAGCAACTAAGCAACGCCTATATAGTCACGTCTCACAATTGCATAGCTTCAATAACTATTTAAAAACCTGTGCCTTCTTCCGAAACCTTCGCTGCCCTCTCTCTCTCTCTTTATCCTTTTCCAATTTCAGAGTCGTCGTCTTTGAAGAACACGGAGACTTAGAGAGAGAAAGAGGAGAGAGAAGAGGAAAAAATTGAATTCCTTCATAAATCAGCCATTGTTACTACCATTGAACTCAAATATTAATCCATGGCTACCTTGGGGAACAAGAACCTCAACGCAAAGCTGGTAATGTTGCCCCCTGTTTTTTTACATTTTTAATTGATTTTTTGTCTCTTTTTTACCCTCTCTCTCTAGATATCTTTATTAGGTCTTGATTAGATCATGCATGGCGGATCCCTCTTTTTATGTCCTTTCTCTCTCTAGATGTCTTATTTCTTGGTAATCGGAACATTGCGTGTGAATTCAGAGTTCCGATCTCATTGGGATCTCTCTCTCTCTAAGTGTCTTGCATTGCGTTTAAATCCGATAATGGTGGGCTAAAATCATATTTTGTTCATCGTTTCCGTCTGTCTGGATGCATGTCCTCTTTGGTATTCAGATCGTGGTTGTTTACTTGTTCTGTTCTTCTTTCTCTCTCTGAGTTTATTTCCTTTCAATTTTTGTTTTGGTGGTTAAAATTGGATCGTGTCTGATAAATTCATTGTATATAAAATATTTGTCTTTTATTTTATGATGAATTTAGGTTCTTCTTGGTGACATGGGAGCTGGTAAATCCAGTCTGGTTTTGCGCTTCGTCAAAGGACAATTCCTAGAATTTCAGGTTGGATCTCTCTCTCTTCCTCTTAAATGATTTTTTGAGTCCTCTTTCTGTCTCTCTCTCTCTCTCTTGTGTTTTGTGTGTATTTTGAACTCTTGGGTTTTGTAGGAATCAACAATTGGTGCCGCTTTTTTCTCTCAAACACTTGCAGCCAATGATGCAACCGTGAAATTTGAGATATGGGATACAGCAGGGCAGGAGAGGTATCACAGTCTGGCTCCCATGTATTACAGAGGAGCTGCAGCAGCTATCATTGTATTTGATATAACGAACCCTGTGAGTCATAATGCCAATTATTTCATTTTGTTGCTAAGAACATGTCTCTTTGGTTTTTTTAGTTTCTATTTTACCTTTTCTTTGTTTGAAGGTACATGAGTTTTATTTGTTATGCTTGTTATTTTGTGTTAGTAATGGTCTGCTAGAAGCTTAGATTGGACATTGTGTGTTGATCTTGTATTGGTTTAAGATAAATTTGAAGAAAGCTGCACAATATTTTTGGTTTGCGGGATAATTTGGGATTTTTGGGGTTGAAAAAGTCTTCATGCTAATGAGAAATCTTGGTGGTATTTGTGTTTAACGTTTGGTACATTTACCTCTTTTTTTTAACTCAGCCGCATATGGATCTCTAAATTTTTATATTTCTTTTTGGTCTAAACATCTGATAGTTTCGTCCTTTAAATAGATTTAAACATTGTGAGGGGTGTTAGAATGGTTTCTGGTGGTTTTCCTCAACACTGGATATGTTTCTTGCGTGTTATTTGACTTTGTTTCCTCTAATTGCACTTTCCCTGTTTCATTTCTCACATTGCTTCCCTGATTCATTTGACAATCTAGCAACTATGGTTTGTTACCATTTTGCAAGATTTGGTCTTTGTTAGTGGTAGTAACATAGCGTGATTACTTAGTGGAGAGTGAAATTCCGATAAATTAACTTCAAGCAGTTGGACAAAGTTTATATTGCAATTATTCATATGCTTTAGATTTTGGATGACATTGAATCGATGTGGTGCAGAGGAGGTGCCATTGGGAATTCTAATTATGTTAGGATTAGGAGTTTTAAAGGATTTTTAGTTCCTACAATGATTGGGACAGTAGAGTTTTGGAAGTCTTAAGGTCTCCTATATTGAGTAAGAGTGAATAACAGGCGGCCCAAAGAACTAATACTTAAGCTAGGTTTATGGGAAAGTTTGGTATGACTAAGGCATGATTATGGTTTTGTTAAAGGCTTTTTGTGTGGGCATACATTGCTGGAACTTAACAAGGATATGATGATGGTTGCAAAGGAAATTTAGGGCTTTTGTTTGAAGATTACGGTGGGTAGGTCTGGTTAGGGTGGCTATTGAGCTAGTTTGCCTAAGGCTTGGAGATTTATGGCTAGATTTCATAGAAGTGTTTGTGTGGGATAATTTGGTTGTGGGGAAATCTTGGATGGGGATGTGCCATGCAAAAGGGGAAAGAAGAGGGGATCTAGGCTTATCTATACAGAACCTCTAATCCACAAGCTAAGAATTTTGGGAATCTCTCCACCAAAACAAGAAAAGGTTTTGACTTTTGCATGGACTCACCCAGACGTATGCTAGTATAATTACTCTCTCTATCGAAAAAGTTGGGGAATATTTCCTGAAATGGTTGCATCTCACCATAATTGAAACACAAAATTTATTACTCAACTTTGATTGATTTGGCTGTAGGACTATACATCGGATTGAGAGTCAAGCTGTCTGTATTTTCCTCGACTTCCTATTCTTGTAGATACTTTAGAATTGGGTAACTAGTTATTTCATAGTTTAGGGCCACCTGTAAATAACACGAATAAAATCTTTTTAGACTCTCAAACAAAATTGGGAAGCTAACTTGCAAAATAAGGAAAGAAACAACTTACTGAAATTTCAAGACACTCTATTTTCCAATTAATGGAGCCCACTGTCTTCTAGAAGATTGATCTTTCTAGAAGATTGCCTAAGTTCCATGCCCTACAGTTTCTTGGACTCAATAATGGAAAGAAAGAAGGCGGACACACCTAAAAGGGCCGTACACAAAGGCCGTAACCCGGTGCTGGTCCTGCCTAAGCAGGGTCCCAGGAAGGGTGGGCTGGAAATGGTCCTAACCTTTGACTTATGCACAAAGTGGCTGCTCTCAGGACTCGAACCCACGCTCTTGCGCTGGCTACCTGAGCCTTTTACCGTCACACCAAGTGACGGCCACTAAAAGCACAAAATTTGTCATTGATTTTCCCAGCAGACTTTCAACCACATTTGAAGCGTGCAATGTCCGAACTATGAGAAATCCACAAAGATAAGTGACGTAGGTCTTGAAGAGATCTTCTATTTAAACTTTGAATCACTTCAAACGGACATTCAGGTGAGAACTAATGCCTTTGAAAAACAGTCTACATCATGAGTGGGTCTTGCAATAACTATGGTTGGTGATTCTACCTCATATATAGTGGGTGTCTTTTTAAAAAGTTTATAGAACTCCAGATCATTGATGTTTCCCTGTGAAATGGAGGTGGACCCCTTTGACATGGACTGATTGCAGCATGGTATTGTGTTTCAACCATGTCACTCGATTTGCTTAATGACTCCCTTGAATTCTTCCTGAATTCGTTAAGGCTATGACATGGACCTCCCTCTCCGTCTTTGTTGACTTTGATTATAGGTGTTCTTAGCAGCATGATAGTATTGGGCGGTTGAGGGCTTTAAGAGAGTTTGGGAATGATATAACTTCTGACTTAGTGCATAGACGATATGTCAGTGTCTTCTTAAAGTGGTTTTGATTGATCTCTGATCAAAGAGCATTAAGCAAATTTGTTCAAGATTATAACTTTGGGTATTGGTGCTCAGGATTGATAACTAGTGGATATGGCAGAGAGATTAGGCCATGAAGTGGGAGTGGAGATGCCTCCATGGAAGTGCCTAAGAGGCTGAGACTGCCTGTTCACCAAGAAGCATCAAAAGATTGGGAAGCCTAGCAATCACATCCTAAAAGATCCTCCAAGTATTGCAGTCTCCAAAGTAACAAAATGTTTAATTCTAGTTTACAGTTACTAAGTTGTTTGGCTGAATCAAAGGTTAAGAGCAGCTATCTACATGAAATATTTGTTTGGCATCCTTATGAAAAATATCAATATTGCAGGTCCCTACAATACAAGTAAGAGCGACCATCGGATCAAACATAACAGCACTCTGTTTTATGAAAATAGTTAAATAAAAAGCTAATCACTGAATTGAGAAAAAATATTATTAATTATTGTGGGTGAAAATTTGAAAATGCAAATAAGACAAGGAAAGATTCGGCAGACCTTTGAAAATGAAAATAAGACAAGGAAAGAATTCGGCAGACCCTGATCATCAATTTGCATGATCAATATCAAGTCTCAATATCAATTTAGAGGTTCAGAAAAAAAGTACTGAATAAATTTAGAGGTTCCAAGCGTTTCATCACAAACTTCTCAATTTCTCTTGGTCTCTGTTGAATCTTGTGTATGAGGGTCATTTACCTTACGGTCACTGATCGAGGCCTTGGTTACTCTCTTTTTTTATTTCTTGTTCATTTTTTTCATCTTCTCCTTATGCCAGCCGTGCTCATCGCCAACTTTCCTCAGCTGTCAACACTCCTCCCCTTTCTCTCTCTTGAACCCCATGCAAACCTCCTCTGTCTCATAACCTTCATTCTTTAAAATCACAGCAAAACACTCACAAGAGCCCCAAAGGTATGCCCAAAACCTCAAAAATCAACTGAACCAGAACACCACACAAAAGCTCCAATATACCCCACTCCATGACCCAGAAACCTGCCTTCAAGATGGGGAAGCGGGAATAACTCTGGTGAAATGGAGATGCGTCATACTATGCAAGAAAGGGTGCTTTCATGGCAGATCATCTCTTTAATTCATGGGCGCCTTTGAAGAAATCAGTGTTCCATGAGAAAGAGAGTCTAGTCTTCTTCTTTTTTCTTTTTTTTTTTGAGATGGATTGGGTATGCAAAGGACACTGTGTTTATTGATGTTTTGCTTTTTCTTCACTTGTTTCTCTTTGCCCTGATTTATCCCGGAGAAAAGTGTGAACACAGAAGGCATAGTCTAATCGCCTTTTTTGTTTCTTTTGAAATGGATCGGGGTTGGGTATTGTAAGCAAGGAACAATACGTTTATGGTGTATTTGGTGTTTTGCCTCTTCATCACTGTGCCTTGTTTCTCTTTGCACTGATTTAGCCTGGAGAAAAGTGTGAAGATAGAAGTCAGAGGGACCAATCGTGCTGCAGGTCCGGGTGGGAGATGTGCAAAAGCAGATCTCAGTATAAATGAGTTGAAATGCTTCTCGTCCAGAAAAAAGGGGAGTCCAACTTAAAATTTTTCGGATGCCACTTTTTCCTTGATGCCAAAGATTTCCAACTTCCAATCTTAAAAACTCGCTGATTTCCAAAGTGCAGCTTGCCCTTCTTACTGGTTTTTTGGCTCGTCAGTCAAACAACTCTAGTTCTGGGGACATTCAGCTTGAGAATGGTTATCTTAAATTCATAATGAACGAGAATAACTTGTAGAAAAAGATAACAATATAAGGAAACTTAGCTCCTACACTCTGTGGCTACCTGTGTGGAAGTGTTTTAGATTTGATCTGTACTGCCTCTCCAAGTTAATTTGTCTGAGGGCTCAACTTGCTATTTTGGTTAAAGAACTGTGGTCTTCAACAGGCACCAGAAAATTACATATGCAGTAATCATTGATATTCATCCAAGTTACTTGTATGTGCATGTCAATGACTCCAGATGAGATAACAGCAGTGTCCATGGATCCCGACTTTGCAGGCAGGCAGGCAAGCTCTGCCTATTGAGGCCCTTCTTGTGGGAGGATTGTATCAAATTTGGCTGTTGCATTCAATTTGACACCTTTACTTAGTTGATAATGCTAGTTATGATGAAGATGCCCCTGAAATGGGCCCCTAATTTCTATTTTGGATGGGTCAGGAGTGGTTCTTGATATATTGTGAGTTTCAGCCATTTTGTATATCAAGTGCATATGCTGAAAATAATGTAATTTATAATGTATTTTGGGCATTTGGAATAGATTGCCTGTATTTGCTATATCTGCTGTTTAAAAATAACAATGATGACGTGTGATATTTTGGATTCTTGTTGTCATATTAAGATTAAAAATGCCTTATTTGAGATACTTCTGTTGCTTATTCCTATTTTGAGCTACTGAATACAAAACTACCCATAGAAAAAGATTTTGTTCAAAATTTTCATTGTATATTGAGGCTTCTCTGGTTTTTGTTGATAGGATTCATTTGCTCGAGCAAAGAAATGGGTGCAAGAACTTCAAGGGCAAGGTAGGTGCTTCTTCAAATTCCATTTTGCTGTAAACATGGTACTACTTTTCTTCTTTCAAATGTTTTTGGTTGAGATGCTGCAATGGTTACCTGAACTTACAATAATAGGCATGTTCTTTGAACTTTTCTACAACTTGTGTACTGAATATGGTCTTTCAAGATAATGGATTGCTTTTGCACTTGTTCGGAAATTAGGATGTGCATTTTAACTTATTTTCAAATAATTTTCTAGAATTTTGTAAATTTTTGGTTGATTGAAGCTATTTTTCTTATGAGTTCTCAAAGAATTTTGTAAATTTCGGGTCAGGACTCACTAGTGTCCTGAGCCCTAGTCAGGCAACTTGACTGGGTGGGTGTGAGTGAGACGTGGCCTAGTATTAAAGAGTAGACAAAAAGTAAAAATAAAAACTGGGAACTGGCGAGACTCGAATGGTTCCCTTTGATTTTCTTCCGGACTTCACAGGCTGCTGAGTCCTAGCAACTCGGGCAAGTCTGAGTCATACTCGCAGAGTTTTCAAACACTCGTTATTAGGGAAAATAATGTTTTCAAATCTTTTTGAATTTGATTGAATTAGTGCTTTTGTAAAGCTAATTAATTTACGTCCTTCATAATTTGATGGAAATCATGTTTCTGTAAAGGTAACCCGAACATGGTTTTGGCGCTTGCTGGAAATAAATGTGATATGGTAGAGAAAAGGAAGGTGACACCAGAGGTATACATAGTATTATTCTTTTTGTTTGCATGCTAGTTTTCTGATATCCATGTAACAATTTAGCAGCATTGGTTAGTGTGCCACGGCTCTTTTTGTAGTTGACTTACCTAATTGCTCTCAGTTCATATGTTTCACATTCCTGAAAAGCTTGTGTGATTTCACATTCCATTTATTTTATTGACTAAGAATTGATCCTTTTTATCCCAAACACTCAACATGCTTATGCTTTGTTCTTCCCAGTGTTTTGGACTTGGCTGAGTCCACTCGGACTCGGCTGAGTAACTCGGCCCCGCCCTAGTGACGAGGCAAGTTGGTGACGTGTTTGGTGCCCAACTCGAAGGGCACCAAAAACCTCCTAAATTGTTTTTTTAAAAATGCTGAGAAATATAAAAAAATTAGAAATCACAAATATATTGGCTAGAAATACTTTTTTAGATGTTTTTCATAGCTTTTAAGATGATTTGGGAACTTCCATATCTTTTCCTTTTTTTTTGTGCAAGGTTTCAGAAATATTCAAAGTATAAATCAAAATTTTCATTAGTCTATCCCGTGTTTTAAAATGCACGATGCGGTCCCGATGCGGTTGGGGGGGTTGATGCGGTCTACATTTGGGTGCATCACCCCGATGCGGTCAATATATATAAATTTTTTTCAAAAAATCTAAAAAATAGGTTAATGCATGGAAAAAAAATATGGAGGTGATTTATGTGATAGTAGGTATTTAATTTATTCATTAGCTCTAACATTGTCAGCTGTAAGAGACTTTGAATCCGCTGATAGAAGACATTAGAAGTAGAAAATAGAAACTAGAATCTAGAAACTTGAAACTAACTTTATAGAAGACTTTGAATCCGCTGATGGAAGACATTAGAAGTAGAAAATAGAAACTAGAAACTAGAAACTAGAAACTTGAAACTAACTTTATAGAAGTCATTAGAAGTTAGAAGACATCATATTATCATATCCATGATCTTTTTGTTTTCATGAAGCTATCCATGTATTCTTTAATCTCCTTTTAATTTATTCGGTAGCATGTGGGTATGCTCTGACATCCCTAGTAATACCTGCAAAGTGTTCTTTTTGTTGGAAAATGCCTCCACCCCGATGAGAATTTGCACAACGAGTACAAATAACATAATATTAATCTTTTGGATTTTTTAGTTTTACATATTTCCAATCCGGATCCTTAGTACTTGAAGATTGTGAAGAATAAATTGCCCAAAAAATAAGTGTTATGATTTATGAAATAAAGAATTAGCAATTGATCGAAAAAATTATCGTTGTCTTCTCAGCCATTGAAATCCTCGATAAGTTAACAAACTATGCTCAACCTTCTTCGAAACAACGCCCAAGCTTATCCCACTCAACAGCCCAACCAACATCGAGAGCAAATTGACAATTGTTTTCAAACAAAATTTCTGCCGTATTTTTTTCCTCTTCGTTTGACCAAAAAACAATCACATTTGTGGCTGTTTTTTGTGTTTTGGGTTTTTTGTGTTTTGGGGGGTTCAATACCCCAAACCCTTTTCCTCCCTTTGGGGGTGAAAAATGATAAAAATACCCATTATCATGGGCACTATTTTCGCCCACTAGCTATGCAGGGCATATGTGCTATGCGCTATGTGGTGGGATGCGCGGCATATGCGGGTGCATCCCACCAAAGTGCATATGTGCCCATATGCGATGTGCTTTGAGGCACATAGCGCATTATATGGCCGCATCACCGCGGATGTGGCTGCATTTTAAAACAATGTCCATCTTCTATAGACTTTTTCAACTTTTTAAGTCTTCTAATGATTTATATTGAAACTTTAAGCTTTTTTTATTTTTGACTATCTTTTAGAAATTTTTTACTTTTCTTTTTCAACTTTTCTACGTTTTATGATGGTGTACATGACTAACTCGGAGTTACTCACCTTGGCCAGGGGTCAAGTACCTTAGTCAAGGCATTTGCCATAGTACTGGTTCCTCCTAACGGATATGCTTTGGAACTATTTATTGATATCTCTTAAGATTCTATAGTTTAAATTTTCAAAGATATCATGATCTGATATTTGAATCTAACAAAGCTGTCTTTTCTAACCATCAATTCTTGTTCTCACTCCAAGATCCCTTAGTCGAATAAAGCTATGTAGTTTGCATGGTCATGAAATTCTTGTGATTCCGATGAACATACTATTTGATATTAAGCAGCAATGGATGCTTTTGCTTGGGATAACTTTCCCTCTTATTCTATACCAAAAGTAAACCATCAGTGTCTACGTCCTTCATATCTGTCATTTGTGTCTTTTTTTCTTCATTATCTTTTCCAATGAAAGCTACATTTGCGCACCACTCAATATTTTCTCTGGAGAGACTTCTCCCCAATTGTTTTCTATGTTTAGATGGTTCCGGAGCTAAGTGACAGCCAAACCTTGGATCACTTGAAATCTTTCAAACTCCATTGACAAGACATTTGTTGACTCATGATATCAATTTTAGATTTTGACTGTTTCAAGTCTCCTGAAACATTATAAAAAATTTACCATGGAAGATATAATTGGTAAAGTTTACAGTGTTTAAGCTTGGTTTTGGCTGGAATCTCAGGGTTCTTTTTTTATTGAGCAAAGTATTTGGGTTGGATCCATATATGGAAGATCATCCTTATGACCCTTGAGACTCAGTGCTGGATAAGGTTCATACGAGGAAGAAGATACAGGTGTGAGACTTGTTTTTTCTCTAGTTTGCTGTGCATGTGCTCAGTTATATTTGAACTGTGGCTTGGGCTGGGGCCACGGAGCTCGGACTTTTATGGATGGATAACATATTTTCCTGGTTAAGCCTGTTTTGGAGTTCAATTGAAGGTCAGGTTATGGGATAAGTCCAGGGCTGTATTTGAAAAATAGCAGAAAAAAAGTTAAAAACTCTGTTCTGAAATGTGCAGAAAAGGTCATGAAGCTTGTTTAGTGAAGAACCAAGCCATCTCTCTCGGATGCTGTCACTACAGTGTTGAATTTGTTGATTTTTTTGCATACATCAATCATGCCTCCAATTTAGAAAATGGCTATGGGAAAATATTTTATGAAGATAGCCCCTCATTGCCATTTCATAAGGAGTTTGCAAAGCTAAACAAATTAGTTGAAATATAAGAGAATAATTGAGTCAATTTGCTACAAAGCTGCTGTCCTGCTCTTTGATGCAAACTTGAGGCTTTTAAAATTAATGGTCTCTTGTTAACTTTCAACTTGTTTAGATGCTGAAAGTCTCAGTAATGTGACAGAAAAAAACTGAAACAATGTGGTTCTTGTAAAATTAATCGCCAAGAATCTTGCACTATGGTCCTTTGCCGTGGAGAAATTTATTCAAGGAAAGCAAGTAGAGTTAATCAAATGGAAAATCAATACTTCCTTTGCAGATGGAAATGGACAAAATCCTAATGCAAAAATATAGTGATAATTTCTTAGTTGATCGATCCAATAAATCACAATGTAGCAAGGCAAGACTGCCAACTAAGTCTGAGATTGCTTTTAACTGATATTTGCAATTTCCACTTGGAACAGGGATGGGAGTTGTAAAATAAGGAGATAAAGATATTCAAGATCTTCCATGGTGACTTGGTAATGGGCAAGATCTTATGGATCTGGTGATTATTGATCAGTTCTTTGGAAATTCTAGAAATCAGAGTAAACTAAATGGAATTTAAAGTACCAAATGAGTAGTATGGTTTCCTCTCAGGCTCTCTCTAGGTTTTTATTTCCTGTTGTCTTCAAGGAGTTAACTGTGTACCATATTGTAGATTCACTATTAAGTTACTGAATTCGTTGCTCATGGACTGGAAAAAACTATAAAAGAAAAAAAATATTTTGCTGAGAAAGAAGACAACTCTTATAGTGGCTACACATAATGCATGGTATTTTCATCCTTTGGTAAGATTATTCTAAAAGGTAACCTCCGTTCTGTTCCATGTGGTTTTGCAGGAAGCTCAAGCATATGCCCAAGACAATGGCCTCTTCTTCATGGAAACCTCCGCAAAGACTGCCATAAATGTGAATGACATTTTCTATGAAATTGGTAAATATTCTTTTAAGGCTCATAATTAAACTTTAGTTGTTACTTGAAACCTGTCAGTTTTACATATTGGGAAAGTAAGCTTACCTTTGGTACGAAAAGGTCATAATCATCCTAGCCATTAGAAGTGAAATTGGGTGACTAGGAGCATGCCATTAACTGCTTTCTGTGTCCAAGAGAATGTTCCTGATATTTCGTGTGGAGAAATGACACATCCCAGCTGTATATACAATGGTTTGGGGTGTTTGTGACCCTTGTGTATTAAGGTTAATGGTCTCATTTGTATACAATCCTTTACATATTACAAAGCTGCTGATTGTTTTTTGTGAAGTTTCGAATATTCCCTTTAAGAAATTGCATAACTGATTTTATATAGAAGGCTAGAGAATGTTCCTGATATTTCGTGTGGAGAAATGACACATCCCAGCTGTATATACAATGGTTTGGGGTGTTTGTGACCCTTGTGTATTAAGGTTAATGGTCTCATTTGTATACAATCCTTTACATATTACAAAGCTGCTGATTGTTTTTTGTGAAGTTTCGAATATTCCCTTTAAGAAATTGCATACCTGCTTTTATATAGAAGGCTAGGCATCGGAATCCCTATACAACTTCGAGGTGGGATATCAGTAGAAATATCAAAAGTAGCTCCACACTCAAAACCTGGATAGGTTCCCATGATTGTAGGTCTTTCGTTATAGAAAACAGGTGGGTGACTCTTCCACCCGATTACTTCCCTTCAGAAAGTTCATTGTAAACTTTATATTACATTTTTGTTTTATAAATATGTAGGCAGATTGCTGTGTTTTGGGGTAATTTCAGAATAAATGGGGTTAAATGATATGAAGGCAGGGAGTGAACCAAAGGTCTCGCTAAAATGTTAACTACCATTTTGTTAAAAAATACTTCTACTTATGATTAGTAGTCCACCCAAACATAGCTTCCCCTTATATTCATGATTTTCTTTATGACTTCCCTTCACATTCATGTTGGTCCCTGAAGTTCTACTTGTGTTACAGCAAAGAGGCTGCCTCGTATGCAACCTATGCAAAATCCATCAGGAATGATGCTTACAGATAGACCCACCGAAGCGACTACTTCTAGATGCTGCACTTAGCCTGCAACTGCGCCCTACTCTCTCCCCCTCCCCCTTGTCTCTCTCTCTCTCAACCCTGTAAACGGGGTCGGGACTGCACATCTTTCCTCCCCTCTCTTGCTCTCTCTCTAACCATGTTGAAAGCACCTTGGTTTACATAAAGAGATGGGTCAGGTCTAAAGATCCTTTCGTTTGTTTATTTTTTGCCAAACAGTGTAAATAAATATTATTTGTGTGTATGATTATGTTATGGAGTTCTTGTTTTTAATGCATTATCCTGGTACACCTGACATTAATAAGAAAAAGTCCTATTGCATTTTGCTAGAACGTTTCATTTCACAGTGAAAAAAAGGAATCGAAAATAAACTGAGGTTAAGCAAAACAGGGGAAATTTAATGGATTGCTGGCTTATGAAGTTTTCAGGTTTGTTTCCTTCTCTCCTTTTTTCCTCCATCTACAATTATACTTTGGAATCCTCTTGGAAATGGCCATAATCTTTGTTCTTGATTGTTTTGACATATCACCTTAAATTAGTGGTGTCAAGGGGCCGGCTGGGTGGCTGGCTGGCTTTAAAAAACTAGGGCCTGAGCTACAAAATATGGCTGACTATGGCCTAAGTGTAGGGCTTGGGCCGAGGCCAGCCGGTTCGGTCTGGCCCGCTTTTTCTTTATTTTTACTGGGTCCAATCGCCAACCCTATATTAAATAACCGATAGTAGTCAACATTAAGAAAAAAAGAAACAAATAAAAAAAAAAAGAAAAAGAAAAAAAAACTGATAATAGTCGATTGATTTTATGTTCCGGCAAAAGCTTTTAGGCCATTCATTCCCCAGCGTAAATCCTATGTACTAATATTTTTAGAACTTTCAAATTTTGGGGACATAACCTCCTCAACCTTGCTTATAACCTCAAAAAGAAAAAGATAACAAATTTCAGGGACTCTACATGTCTAAGGTCCGTTCTGAGAATGGTTTATGACCATCCGATGTTTGTATGCTCGAAACGAAGTGCTTAGAAACCCAAAATTAATTATTATCTTCTTGTAAAGTACTCGGAACTGTATTCCCAAATGGACCCAAGACCGCATAGAAACGCGGGCTTCTTAATACATCTATTTTTAAAATATTATATATATTACATATTATTATATAGTATTATATATATATAACAATATATAAAAGAACTTTTTAGATTCTATAGGGCCTAGATCGGGATCCAAATCTCATGTATATTTTCAGACCTGGATCTGAATATTTTAGATCCGTTCGGATCCAAATCTGATGTATACTTACGATCCAAAGTCGGATCCCAGTGGATCCGGATTCTCGGCCCGATCAAAAGTCAAATTGAAAAAAGTTATTATCCAATGCAACCGTTTTAATGCACTTATCCCTTATAAATTGCTCCACGTTTGCCTTAATTAGCTTTTAGAGCCATCTTGATGCAAGTAACCTTAGTGACAATTATCGTCGATAAAATGAACTAATCGGTTATGCTGATAATTTAGGGAGAAATTATCAGATCTTTTATCCTGGAAACTTTGGAAGTCGATATTATATGGGATATTATCCATATAATATTGAAATTATTGTGCTTGCAGATAGTATCGCATTAATAACTTAATTTTCCTAATCATATCCCAATTTGATGTAGAATAATTACTAATTGTGTGGAAATTTTGTCATGAAGTAAAAGGTAGGGGTGGGAATAGGCCGGGAAGGGTCCTGGAATTTACATGGAGTTTTACCCGGTCCGGACTCAGACTGGGTATGGTAGTCCGGTCCGGGTAAATTCCGAGCCCTAGTAAAAGGATTAGGTTAAAAAAACATTTTATGTAAACGTGGAATTTGAAAGGTCAAGTTGTCCAAGAATGTGGGATCTTTTCATGGAAATATTTAGTTATTATTTGTTTCAAATTTTCATAGTTAATATTTTTTAATGTTTTAAATTTCAAATAAATTATTGATATATTTCCTATAAAAAGGGCTCATAAAAAACCTTGTCCATAGGCCCATGAAGCAAGAATTGATAAACAAATTTTGCAGGATAACAAGTAATTTCTAATGTGACACAAAGTGGTCCCAAAAAATTGATCATACAAACAAACATTCTATCCTACCTTCTCTAGTCTGCAATCTAACGCAAACAAACATTCTATCCTACCTTCCCCAGTCTGCAATTTAACACAAATATGTCATCTTCTGAACCAAAATATTCTAATTTTCCTTTGGCCGGAGGAGAAGAACACCCAAAGGATCTTATCTTCTCAATCAAAATATTTAAATTTTCTTTCGATTAGAGCTGAATAACATGTAATCTTCTTTAATAAGATTTAGGAGCTTGATATCACACCTTGAATTGGTCTCGACTGTCTCGGCATGCTTCCAAGAAAATAGAGTAGGTTTGTACAGTAGAAAGTTTCGATCGTAGCAATCAAGATGTTCCTCCCAAAATGCGGCTATCGGCGTAGCGTTCTGCCAGTTCCGGCGGAAGTTCGGGTTAAGCTTGCGGAGCTCAGAAAGTTCATCCACTACATGTAAGAGGCCATTCGCCATATTGTATCTCAAAAAGCTAGGACCATGCTTCTTCAAATTAAGTTCTTCAGTGGGACAGTAACTCATGAACAGTACCTCCCCAAGCAAAGGGAATGGAAATAACAAGGGAAGTGACGGGGCATCCTCGCTACCTTCGGATACTAATTCACTGATGTCTATGGTTACTAATTCCTCCCAATTCTTATCCTCCATTAGTGTCCACAACGTCACCTTCAAGAACTTGGTTAATTGCACCAGAGTGAGATTCCCCTCCCTCACCAAGATTGAGGAGGAAATTACGTTACGAAGAATCCGAGGAGGAATCGGGATGATCTTTACTTCCTCCATTTCCATGTCAAAAGCCATCAAATATTTCAAAAACAGGTGGTAAGTAGTCTGGCCTATAGTGATGCCGATTATACTATCAATAGATGATATTCGATCCCCCAAGAATCTGTCGAGGAAAATGCAAGTATTTCTTGGGGGTGAGATCTCAGTGGGACATGTTCCCTTCGGAATTCTCCATTGTTGGGCTGACGAGTTGAATATCAGGTATCTTACCCTGTTCGCCGAGTCCCATCTTCTATGGGAGCTTACTTTCTTACCTGAGTTCCCAAATTTAACGCCAGCCAAGATCTTGTAATTGCAATTTTGTGGGTCGAAGTAGAACCCAAAATCGAGCACCTCCAGGTCGAGGAAACTTGGAACAAAGGTGCATTGGCTGGTGACCGGGTTCACAACAAAGAAGACATCCCTCTGACCATCGCCATGAAGTTCCCTCTGACCATCACCATGAAGTTCCCTGCTCAGGCAGCAAAGGATCCCATGACTTTCAGCCATTCTCCTGCACACAATGCCTCCCATCCTCATCGAAACCCGAAGATTTGAACGATGAGACTTCCTGTCATTCGGGTAGTCGTGGAGGAACAAAATGTGGTCATTCTCACGCCTCAGAAAGAGAACTAAAGGATGGCTTGGATGGGGAGTCAGAAAGTGAGCTTTTGCAAAGGAGGGGGAAGATAGGAATTGATTCCAAGATCGGGACACAGTTTTGAGATTTACTAAAACTTTTACAGGTAATGACAGTAGTATGATCTCCATGATATCATCCGATAGGGTGTTACTCAGAGTTCCCATTGCTCCTTCTCTCTACAAAAATCGTGCTGAATGCAGAAGAATGAGGTAGAGAAATAAAAGATGTAACGGAGACGGAGAGTATTAAATAAAATATTTATACTCAGGAAACCATAAAAGGATCCTCTCATCTGTTAATCGAATCGGATTGCTATTAACTCGACTTTATCGGCAAGGTTTTCGTTACAGTATTATCAAGTAGGCCGTTAAGACTTTTGTGGTAATCTATTGGAAATTAAACAAAATATTTATACTCAGGAAATCATAAAAGGATCCTCTTATCTGTTAATCGAATCGGATTGCTATTAACTCGACGTTATTGAGACCTTATCGGCAAGTTTTTCGTTACAATATTATCAAGTAGGCCGTTAAGAATTTTGTGGTAATCTATTCGAAATTTAAAATATATTTATACTACAAATAATTTGATTAAATAATCACTAAAATTAGAAATTTAAAATATCAAAAATATATTTATACTATAAATAATTTCATTAAATAATAACTAAATATTTTGCTGAAGACATATTTTTCAAGAAAAATCCCATATTATTCGACAGTTGTAACTTCTACATTTGATGTTGACCATAACCTTCAAAAGAGAATGGCTTAAAGCCCCTGAACATGGATTTTTTAGATACTTTACCCTGGATTGACTTTTCGAAAAGTATTTCCCCCCGAAACGAATTCTTTTTTAGCTAATACCCCAATACAAAAAGTTTGCCTCTTTTAAATGCCGGACTGCCTCTTTTAAACACCAGACCACCCTCTCTAGTGAAAATAATTTGTTATGTAAATGCTAGAATACTTCTTCTAAACGCCGGTTTGCCTCTTTTAAACGACAAACCACCTTTTCCAGCTAAAATAATTTGTTAAGTAAAAGAATAATATTTCCGTCAAACTTTTTATATGGGGGTATTAGCTAAGAAAGTTGATTTCGGGGAAAAATATGTTAAAAAAATTGGGCTACGTTAAAGTGCCTAGAAAGTCCAAGGGTTTTAACCAAAATTTGTGGCAATCCTTTTTTATAATAACTGGCAATCAATTATGAATAATTTATAAGGTGAGGTTTGCATAAAGTGCCACCTTAGACTATACAAGTAAGGAACACTTCTATATTTTGCCTAACGATGTAATTCGGTGTCCGAAACGTTATGATGACTTGAAAATTCATGTTCAACCCTAATTATGAAATTTCAAATTTCAAATTTCAAAACGAATGCAGATTGAGTAGATATATGAACATTTGATAAAAATAGACGGTCTAGATAAATTATTATAAGATGAACTATTTTTAAGACTCATAGATTAATTGGAACGTTTTGAAACTCAGGAATACTCTATTCTACCGGATAATTGAGGTGCATCCTACTACTATAGTATAAGGTTGCAACCGTGTATAAACTATTTCCGTTTCTATTTTGGTGTAAGCATAAAAAGGAAAAACAAAATCCCCATGCAATCCTCTTTCCATAACGATTAGCATAGCATTAAATTATGGATAAATCCATTTTGGCAAATTCATTTTTTCTAGGCAATTTAAAACAAACCTGATATTAATGGGAAGATTAATTAGAGCATAGAAAGATCTTAATAATTGCAAAAA